CTGTAACCAGTGTGCTTCGGACCCTATGATCTGAGGTTCTAGCCTCACCACCGCCACTAGACTTTGGTGGTAGGCATCTCTGTCTGTCTTCCGGTTCCATACCACGCGTATGCGGTTCCCCACTCCAAGTCTCGGGGCTTAGGTTGCCAGTTTCCACCACTGACCAGCAGGTCCTCGTGACTATGGGGTTCACCCCCGCCTGCTGTTCATCACGTCTAAGTGTGTAATAAAAAATCCTATTCACCTCTCATATATCGTGATCTTCCAATAAACCATTCTCCTCAGTCTTGCACTGTTTGCATAACATTAGAGGATTTTTTTCTCACCCTCTATAATTGCCAGATAGAAACAGATGGTTGAATTTCGCCAATTTCCTCAGTAAGTAGAATGACCGATATCTGACAATGTTCTCTAGTCCCATGAATGAGTGAGAAATTTACACTGGTTTAAGTGACTGGATTGAAAATTTAGCATGATCATGAACCGTACGACTGGCAATTCAGTACAGGACCAAAGTCAAGTTTTGAAAATCAGTGGTGAGAACACGTTTAATTACTTACAGCTAGGAGAGAGAGAAGGGGTTCTGGAAGCGACTGTTGCGAAATAGTTTGATTCTTTCAAGCAACACTCAAGAGCTCCAATGGTGAAATAAATCCCTCTTATTTCTCAGTTATGCGTCAGTCTTTCTCCACGTCAATTAAATCTACGATGTTGGTTTTAAAAAAACCAAACCTACCTCTGAATATGGTAGGTTTGTTCAAATAGCTGTTTGGCAGATTTGGAGTTTGTATGTCGATTGTGAAAAGTTCAGTAGCCTCGGTGGGAACAACTGAACAATTAACCTTGTCTTAGAAGCTCATTCGGTGGAGTCCGGTGAATTCGAAGGAAAACCTGTCGAGTCAGTCAGCTTACATGCTAACTGGTGGATGCCACATGCCGCTGTAAGTTGGACGGGTAAATTCGAATGTGAAAAAGATCAGTGCTGTCGGTGTGGCCTCGTAGCTCAGCTGGTAGAGCATGTGCGTACAAAGCGTAGGCGGTGTCCATGCGTGGGTTCGAATCCCACCGAGGCTACTGAACTTTTCACAATCGACATACATATGGTAGATTTGCCAAAGATCAACAAAATGCGGCAATCAATGAACCTGTGTGTAATATCATAGGGGTAATCAGAACGATTTTGTTGAATAAACCGCACGGCACAAATACCTTGGGCAAGATGACTCAATCACTCGTAACCATAGGTGGTGGACGTTACCCTATTTAAAACAATTATATAGATATACATATGTATCCCCGGATGGAGAACAAGTATGGTACCGACGCGATAACAATAATAATAGAAAAACGAGGGTTACAGATCCGAATGGCAACAATGGGGGAAAATTACGTAAGGCAAAAAACAGAATAATATTCGGTTTCTATTTTTTCATTCACTATATATATAGTGCATTTCTACGGGGGAAGACTGTTGTCTGACGAAAGCCGTTCAGTCATACGTTTTGGACCACAGTTAAGAACGAACAAGCTATTTACAAAAGATGCGGGATGTCTAATTTGAAGTCCTACTGGTGTGAGCATGTGTGTGTGCGAGCTGTCGCAAAAGGAAAGCTGATCACGAGGCAAACGTTCATATGCGGTCGACTCATATCTAAAGTACAACACTATTAAATTACGGGTAATATATGACCGCATAGATGATGTTGGCGTGGTCGAATAGTTCACTAATCAAATGAGCTCACTGAGATGACCAGGACATTGTGATAGACGATGAACCGGTTATCTACAAAATAATAAGAACGGTGACAATCACTGCTTACAATTTGTTTGATCGGATCGATCGAGCTTCGAAGTACATCTAATTGAACTGGATGAAGTTGGAATCCATAACCCTCGGAATAAGATGACCAACATTTCACCGCCAGCGAAAATCGTACGAACTGGTTTAACAACGCCTCGGCCAAATCAAATGAAATGTTCCAGAGGATAGCCAGCATCTAAAATAGGAGAGGCAAAGAAAGACATTTTAGAGAAAGTGGGGAGGCCAATGAAGCGAGGTTAACACACGTTGATCGATTTTCAAAGATATTCGTGTATGTCCAAAGATAACTAGAACGAAACGGTGAAATGAATACAGCATTAACCAATAACAGAAGCGCCATAGAAAGCCAGTGAGGCCAACCGCGACGAGAACCCTCTGTGATCAGTTGAGAATGAACGAATAACCATGTAGTTTACTTTTGGGATGCCATCCAGGAAAGGGTGCATTCAAACCATTGGTTTTAGCTTGATACCATATTCCGCAGTGTCCCCATCCAAAGATAATATGAAACTTTGTGCCCTCAGCCGGCGACGGAAGTCAAATTCGAGCTCAAAATCTTCAAAAGTCCACGAAACGAAACGGTAAGACAGACGTTGTTCAGGCATTCGTAGGACGTACCCCAGCCACCTAAGACGCTGCAGTGAAACGATTTTGCTCAGTGGAAGACTATTTGACCCCAACACACGTCGTCTGACCTCATCGTTGTTCACGCGATGCTCCAACCATACACCAGGGATGTTGCGTAGACAACGGTTGGACATGATCCGCCGGGAGGTTTCGCAGTCATAGAGCAACACGGCACGTACCGTTGCGTAATACACACTCCCTTTCATTGAAAGAGATATGTTGCACTGGCACCAAAGATGCTGCAGATTAGAAAACGCTATTCCAACTTTGATTAAGCGTTGAAAGATCCCGACCACACCTCCCTAAGCCGTTAGGTAATTCCTGAGGTAGACAAAGCTTCTGACTACTTCCAAGGTGTGGTTACCCAACGAAAGTGCAGAAACGGCCTCCTGCCAATCTTGCAATACCTTGAAGGTGCAAGGGACACGCGAGAGCGAGTAACCTCAATTGACAAACGCTTCAGCGAGCCTCGAATCGTTCGTGCATTGTCAGAGTAAGGCAATATTATCGGCATAATTTAAGTCTAGGATTCTGTCTTCAGGACGAAGCCGGACGTCAGCGTTCGTTACGTTAAATAACGCTGTTTGTAAAACATCATCTATAGTAAAGTTGAAGAGAAACGGAGAGACAGGAGAACCCTGTCATAGTCCATTAGCGATAGAAAATGAGTGAGTTCACGATAGGCCCTAACCTTCCTCGAAGTTTGATGATAGTGTTTTTAGAAGCAGGACATACCCCTCGGGCACTCCGTTTCTTAGCAAACAGTACAGTGCAGTGTGATCGATGGAGTCCAAAAACATGACAATAGTTCGTCGTTTTTATGTGTGAGGTTATTCAAAACATTCTGTAAAAATTCTATGGAGCATGATAAGCTTTAGCTTTGTTAAATCGCCCATAATGAAACTTTGACTTTGACTATAGTAGTTGACGAAAGGTGATGATTTGATCTATGCGACCATGTCGAGCGAGAAACCCGGCCTGTTCTCCATGGATTTCTTTTTCGCGCCCGGATAACCAGGTGGTTAGCATACTGGGTTAACAATCCCTCGGCCCTTAGTTCAAATCCCATTATCCGATAGACCCATAAGAGAAGGGAAACTAAACGCTTGGAGACTGAAGCCAACCAAAGAGAGAATCTCTTTTCCAATACGTCCTAAGTGAACCACAAAATCCAGAAAATCTGTCATTTGTGGGAATAATCGGCAGTCTTGTTCTTAGAACCATATAAGATGATACTATCGAACAGGTTAACATACAGGATTACATTCATGGGTTAATGGAAATAATACATTACCTAGGGGAATCTTGTCCAGTCATCCATGTACTACTTATTGCAAAAACAGTGAAAATCAGCCTTCGTATTGGGTTTGCTGAGGTAAGACGCATCTAACCCAATAAAAACTAGCACAGAATCGTCGCAAACATTCCTCAAGGTTGGCTGGCCTTGAATTTAATCCCAAACCGCAAGATATGTTTGTTTTTCAATTCAAATCTGAAGTATAAATATACGAATGATACGATAATGGATTACCGAATACGAATGCCCGATGAGCGGCAGGATCATGAAACCGGGCGTGTACTCCTGGGAAACTATGTTCGGCCAATTGTATACTAAATGTTATAGAGAGCCATACTGACTGGCGTAAATGTTGTCTGACCATTGTGACTCAGAGATTGGTTGACTGATCGAACAGATAAGGATAAAATCACAGAATCGGGAGAAAGCAGATGGGGAGACGCGTGCCAAGAACAAAAACCTATAGTTGCAACTGTGATACCGTACCTTGTGGTTCAGGGTCACATCGGCGTCAAAGATGACCATCTGTTCGAAGAAGTTTTGAGCTTCACCACGCAGTCGCGTTAAGGTTTGATTTAGTGCCTGAAAAGAAAAAAGTTTCCATTGAAAGCAAAATTGCCTGAATCACATCGATATCGATTAGCGAAGTAACGACCAATAAAAGGCAAGATAAAAAAAGGTACAAGTATCCGGAGGATATGCTCATTTAGTTTTGGTGTAGCTTCATCTACAGAAGACTGCCCATCATGCGTAGAGACGTTGCAAACGGAAACAGGGAGTGTGGGGCACCGACAACAGACCTGTTGGTGCTTCCATACTTATTCGATCTACTGTTCTAAGAAACCGCTCCGAAGGAGGACGTATAACCTAGCCACGAATTGCTCCGATCAATTTGAAGGGCCATTTGAAAGAACGAAACCTACGACGAACAAGGCAGTAGGCTTCCTTAGAAGTGTTTGGAGCCACAAAAGACAACAACAAAAGGCCATCATGATCATTACACAGTGAAACGATATTCGTTGAGTGCTGCCAAGTCAACAATACAAACAAAATACGTACGAAGGTATAAGGCGAATAAAGTGGATCTGTTTTGATGGACAGGGAAGACAATGATACACAAAGA